TGAGCTACAGTGTCCATGTTAACAGCTATACCRCAATATGCTAGTAAATTCGTAAATAAACATAATTATGTATCAAATTTAATGAGAAATATTGATGGTATCAACCTAAATTTAGATGTTTCAATTTTCGATTGTTTTCCAACATGGCTAACATCAGTTCTGGTTCAATTACAGTTTGAAAGAGATCTAATCTTTCAAGATTCTTCAGATTCGCCAAGCATGAAAAATTAAGCAAAGGTGGATCTGTAGAGCAATTTCGCAGTGAAAGCTCTAATGAGAAGAAACATTTGRAATATATTTTCAAAATAACCAACGAAATAATGCTTGACACTCAATAAAGTACCTTTTAGGTTATCGCACACAATTCCCAATGTTTCAATACAGCTTGCGTTTAAAATTTTACAAGAATCTAATCGTAAGCACATGAGATTGTCTCCCCGCTGTTGTATAAATCTAAATTACGAATGCGACATACGTATGTTTTATTAAAACACATATTCTTAAATGCAGTACGTACTTCTTAAACTCTGTAGGAGAAATTGTATTGAATAACCCGCACCATGACAAATCCAATTTCTTTAACACTGTTGCTCTCTTTGCCAAAGTACATAACATATCGCTTGATGCAAGATGCCAATAAGGTTTTAAATTGATTTCATTATACAGCAAAGGGTGTGTAGATACATCATAGAATGACTTGGAAACTTGTCCTACCAGAAATAACGATTTCAAATCCAAATAGCTGAATATTTTCAAAATAATTTCAAACTGAAAAAAACGTGTCAATTATTATTCGAGTATATATTATAAGAATAAAAACAATTCATTAAATAATTGTAAATGGTATATTACCGGCATATCCTTGAAACCAATAATTTCACAACTATATTCAGCAGTTACATCGCTTTTCATGACTTCCGCATTTCGGTTTAAAACGTTAATGAATTCATTTAAATCGTTCGTAAAAAAATCCCTCAAATGATTATGATAGTTTCCTTTGACATTTGGACGAAAATGAATTTGCTGTAACTTTCGTAATATGGAACCTATAAATAGCAGTTATAGTATGTTAACAATGGGATGGGATATTGTATGCTTTTAATATAATGTATGTATTATTGCAATCAAAATCTATAAGGTATTTACATTTGTGACGACTTTTGTAACAATCCAAAATTCTTTGAATGCTCTCAATATTCACCTTCCTACCCCTAAGTAAAACTGCATCAATTTCCGTAAAATAGTGTAGTAGTGAATGATTAAATTCAAGGCGAATAGTTCTAAAATGAAAAATATTCAGATCACCCTCAATAATTACTAAAATTTTTACCTCGTAGGTAAGTTAACTTTTTTTAACTGTGGGGAAAAGTGGCGGGCTTTGTTGATAGCCTGAAGTGGTGGTATGCATAATTTCTCAGTTTCCCATAAACAAATCCAGCTTTTTGTTATGGTATATGCCCAGATTCTAATCAAAGCTCCAGGATTGAAAGTTTCAAATATAGCTATCTCTTCCGGAATGACGTATTCCTCAAAATAAATAACTTGAAAATAATATTTTAATTCATACTTAACGTATAACTTTTGTAATAATTTTTACCTATATAATCTTGGGCATTTATTTTTGGAATATTTTGTGGCTGAATCTCGTGAACAGAACTTGGAGCTTTCTCCCACCAATCTCCATATGTTCGCTGCAAATTAAAATGTTAAGATAATAACTTTCGTATTACTTCTACCAACCATCGCGTATGTTTCCGGGAAGTCACCGTATTCTGGATACTTTCGTGGTTTTCCCGTAATATTAGTAGCAGTATAGGAAATACTATAATCACTGCCATACTGAGAGCTAAAGTCAGCTACGTCCACAGCATATTGATCCAAACGGTAATCAGCACAATGAAATCCATCTGAAGTATTCATTAGAACGGACGCATCATAGGAATGTCCATTATCTTCAGCACCTAGTTTAATGAAGTCGACAATGGAACCAGCTCCTCTTTTGTCTATGTCGTCATCTGATACCGACGACATTTAATATACTTTTACATGTGTAATCTAAACAGTTTTTTAACTTGTTCCGCCTCGGCACACTTTTATTGACAATGAAATAGTTTACGTTAGAACAACAATTGCATTATAAAACTTCTCCCTTTAGCATAGGATTTAATTTTATCTTTGTCAACAGAAATCGATAATTAACTTTGGGAATTGTTGTAGCACGATTTGTTTTGTTAGGGATTATTGACTTTTTCACAACAGCTGACGAAATATTGGTTGTGATCCATGCTAAAAACCAACAATTATTCTACACAATGGCATTTTTTTCAGGCAAAAAGTTAATCCTTTTACCTTTTCCTATACCAATTACACATTTTTTAATTATATTATCTTTAAATTAGTATAATTAAAWAAGGAAAATAATTTAGCCAATTTTATTATATAATGTTTTTTATTAATCTAGTCAAAAACAGACAACTGTAGAAAACTACATAATTACGCATCTACACAGGGAATAACTATTGCCTATTGATAGTAGGTTCATATCTTATTGCAGTAAAAATATTGCCATTATTGGACATCTGTTATCTGGATAAAATCGCTAGTTCTTGGATTACATCACATTATGCTAACTTGTAATGCACACAGCAGACCAAAAGTCATCAGAAACACTTTGAATACGTAATGGATCTCTTTATTTTTTGTGGAAATTAAAAATGAATGTTAAACTAACACCTTTAAAATTACAATTTATTTCTGACAATATTATTAATTATTCTGATAACTATTGTTAGCCATATCGGATAGGATTATATCTCCTATTGTCAGTGTAGTCATTCCGTTCCGAATAGAAATAATCGATTGAAAGATATTTATCACAATAGAAAACTATTGCCTACTAATTTTTTGTACATCGAATAACTACAGTTTTTCAAACAATGGAAGGAAATAAATGTCGGGCATGTTTATTAGAAAAAGATATGGCAGATCTTTGTGATTGGTATTTAACCATGGAAATAGGTGATGCTTTGACATATCTGGAATGTTTTGAAATGTGTACTCAATTAGATATAAAAAGTACAAATGCTAAATCACCTTATGTTAGGGATATGCATTACTTGTGCCAGGACTGTATTCAAAAGATGATTATTTCTTACCGATTTATAAGAAAGGCACAAAAATCTGCTCATGAATTATGTTTTTTACCAAAAAATAAAGAAAATTTATCGAATATGAGAAGAAATACATTTGAATATGTATATATACAGGAGGCCCTTCCAAGCGACGAATACATAAGTATACCTCAAAAAGATCAAGTACGTTAATTATTATTATTTTTTTTTTATTCGAAATAAATATTTTTAATTGTATATGTATATGTATAATGTAAGCAAAACAAAATCGGCAACTTTCCCGAGGAAAATCCTTTACTAAAAGTTGATACGGTATGTATTCTTAAACTATTCTTGATATTACTTTTATAACATATTTGGTACGTATTTAAAGGTTTCCGGTCTACCCAACGAAATTTGTACACAAACATATAAGAAACAGGATGCTAAAATACATCTAGCAAAAGGCAAAAAAGTATCTCGAAGAGAAAAGGAAGGCAAACTTGAAGTAGAAAACAACCAATTCCCATGCGATTATTGTAAAAAATTATTTCCGGCAAATAAATTACAACAACACAAGTCCCGGTATCATAGGCCAAAAATCTTTCTTTGTGATATTTGCCGTAAGTAGTAGTAAATATATAACGCTGAATTACATGATTTTCTTGGCAGCAAGTTCTTTTAGCATTGCAAATAACTTACGCCGACATCAACACACGCATGACTCGAATCGTCAACGAAACTTTTCTTGTAGTGACTGTGGTCGTACATTCTTTACAGAGGATGTTTATAGGACTCACTTAAAAATACATCAGACATCACGTCGAGCGAAATTCGGATGCAATCAATGTGACAAAACATTCATGCATAAGGGAAGTCTTACTTTACATATTCAAAAGCACATAGGCCCAAAAAATGAGTGTAATATTTGTCAGAAACGTTATGTTCGAAAAATTGACTTAGATATTCATATGCGTAATCATTCCGGCGATTTGCCATATAAATGTTGCAAATGTGATAAGGCATTTATGACAACCAGTGCATTGAGAAAACACGAAATACTTCATTCTGGTGTACGTTATAAGTGTGATATCTGCAATAAGGAGTATTCTCATCCCTCAAAACTAACTCGTCACATCTTGTATCATACAGGCCTTCCTTTAAAATGTGCAATATGTAACAAAGGATTCGCTGAACCAAATAAGTAACAAATATGATCCCACGATTTTGCTTTGGAATATTGATGAATCATTTTATATATTTTATAGGATTCGAAGGCATATCCGCACTGTGCACAAATTAGAAGACATTTCACGCGTAAATGAACTTACCATTAAAGTTTCGAAGAATGTTGGACATTCAAAATAAAATGAACACTTTTTTGAATTTAATTTCGGGTTTGTATTTTTATTTGATATTTATATTACAAAAAAATTGTTTTTTGAAAATGTTAGAGTGATTCTATGGATTCAAAACTTTACATTTCGTCCCCTGTGCTTCTTCGTTATATACTATTCTACTTCATTCTTGTCCACTTATGTATACCTCTATTTTTTTGTTAAGTTAGTGACTGAAAACACAGTTTAGATTAAATTATTGAAAAATATTAAATATTGGGATGAAATTCTGGAATACTTACATATGCACGTTAAAAAAATTAAATTATTAATGATATTAATGATGATGTATAATAAATTAATGCTATAATCAAAAATAAAAATTAACGAATTTTACATCATTTGTTTGAAATTAAGCACAAAAACTTACATTTTTTTAGAGAAAACAGTTTTCATTTCAACTTTCTTTGGTAGATATTAAAAACTTAGAACGCCATAATATGGTAAGTAATTTTGTTAGTCCTCAAAAACATAAGCAATAAAAAGTGCGGCATATTTGTATACATGTATATATTTATGTATTTATAAAACATATTTATTATCTCAAAGTTTATAATGAGCTGCTTTGTGCAATTGGTTTAGATCTGTACAAATAAGTGATTATTTTGATCTAATTTTATCACAAATGTTACATTTATTATAGCTCCTTTGTAAAGAATTTGATAAATTGCTGAAGAAATGATTTCTCACAATGAGAACCAGGATACAGTTAAAAATCGAAGCTCACAACTCCGACACGTCAAAATACCAACATACAACCAACATCAAAAAACCGACAAACCAAAATCCCGACATGTGAAAAATATTTTACCTTTTCCGCTCTTATTGCTATCGAAGCACAAAAAGAGAATTCTATTGACTCATAACCCTTGGTCAGTTCGTGGCCGGAGGCCKCAGGGCCTCGAACGAACAACGGCCACATTTTCTTGATTTGTCGGCATTTTGACTGTCGGAATTCTAAATTTTCGATTTTGATTATCCGCATTACGTTATTTTTATATGAATACGGTGTCGAGATTGTTTCATTTATCGCACGTAAACTTTTCTTGATTTTCTTTGAGGATAAGTTCACGAGTTTTTGTGAAACTTTTGACTGCGGTATTTTCAACCACGTGTAATTATATAAAAAGGAAATCAAAAATTTCTTTCAATTCTCGTTGATCTCATTTGTCAATTGTTTTTGTCCCAATAATGAAGAATGAAAAACATCTGCTGTTCATTTTATTGTTAATTGGATAACTTTAAATTAAGTTGGATTCTCCTCCTCTGGATTCTTTAAAACTTCCACAATTCGGCCTCTATGTTCTTTAGTTATATTTATTCTCACTACAAGATTTTCTAAGTCATCGTGTTTCTCAACTTTGTGCACTCCTTTAATATGGCGTTTAATTCTACAGGAAATATCTATGTTAGTTTAGTTTCAAGTTAATAAGAAAAGAACAAACTCAAAGGTCTTACTTATATGCGTCAGGGAATTGTTTCCCACATGCACCACATTTATAAGGTAAGCCAGTGTGCCGCATGCGGTGTGAGTAGTATTTGTCGTACTTTGAGAATTTTTCGCCACAGGTCAAGCAAGTGTAACTAAAGTATAATTCATGATACTGCAAGTGTCGGTTTAGAATACGTTTATGAATAAATGATTTTCCACATATATGGCACATAAATGGAGATTCTCCAGAATGGSTTCGCAAGTGAGTATCCAGATCTATTTGTCGGACATATCGTTTTTGACATATATTACATTCGATTGAGGCCCCCTTGTGATGAAGTTCGTGGATTGTTAGACCGTTTTTATGTAGAAAGGATTTTTCGCACTGTGTGCATTTATAAATCGGTTTTCTATTGTTTTCATGCGTTTGTATGTGTTTTTTGTAGGAATATGGTGATAAAAATGTTTGGTTACACTTATCGCATGGATACCGTTCCCGATTTTCTTGATGAATAATTTCATGGTTTTTTAAACCATTGGATTCGCGAAACGTTTTTGCTAAATATATTTAAATATTTAAATTTTAGAGTAAAAATGTATCTCAAAACTACTTACGGCAGGCTTGACAAAGGAAAACTTTGGGTTTGTGGCGTGGTTTATGTTTTATCAATGCCTTCCTTGTCATAGTTTTTTTACATTCTTCGCAATTAACCAATTCATCCATTTTTTTCAATTTCATTTTAGTTTTTGCATGAACTTTAATTTTTCTAATTTTACGTTTAAATGTGTTATTAGAGAAGCTGTCGAATTCATCTTGGTTTAATAATTCCGTTTCATGTTCATCATAGCACTGACGTCCAAATGCATTTTCGGCCTTCAAATCACTGTCTCTTTGTTCATTTTCATGACATACATTATTGATCTGCATATCGTCAATCCAACACTTGGAACAGAAAACATATTGCATTTTTTTAATAAGTATTCTTATATATATGTATATATATACCTTGCTTTCAGTAGTATTTTCTGCAGATTTCTCACCATCAATTTGTTTTGCTTTAACTGATACCCATTCAAATCGCTTTGGCACATCTTCAATTGGAATAAGCCGAGTCTTCATGCAACGTAATTCGTTATCTGCTTGCTTCGCCTTTTCAATAAAATTATAAGCTTCTATAAGCTTTTTTGCACAACAGTAGCACAAAAATTGGGATTGCCTATCATTATTTTCGATCGTTGATATTTGAGTGCATTTGCAAAAGCACTCTTTGTATGATAAAACATATTCCAATGAGTCAACAGGCTGATACCAATCTAATAGATGAGCTCGTCCTTCGGGCAATAGACATGCACGACACATGTTTATCGAATCCATTTCAATTGCGCATGCAATAGTTCAGTTTGAAATATTTAAAAATCTGTATATTTTTGTTAAAATATTTGTGAAATTAACTGTATGCATCAAAATCAAAATATCCTGTTTTTTACCAAATATTCAGTGTTGTTAACGCTATGTTGCTAATGTTCTACAATGCTCATACATTATTAAAAAAAATTAAAATATCGATACTCTCGATATTCGAGTCTGTTCGGGAATTGGTAAATATGTGAAATATATAATCGGAAAATTTATAATTCACTCTTATTGCACACAGARAAATTATGAACACCGGGGTTTTGGACCGACCAGGGTTATTTTTTTTCGAGCGCATATATATATTCAAGCATTATATACATGTTCGTAAAATAAAATGGTGCACGTTTTCGCAAAAGCCGCTCCCCTGAACCTTTACCATACTTTCTAAGCACAAAATTGTTGGAGTCTATCTAGTAAGATTTTAACACACTTTTACAATACTAACATAGCCGAAAAACTGTGTGCCAACATTTTTTATTTTGCCATCGCTAGTTAACTTGGCTATATGTATATTTCAACAGCTGTTAAATCTGGACAGAATAATGTTTACCATATAATCATGTATTTTAATAATAATTATAATGCATTAAATGCATGTTTTTAGTAGTATAATAATTTTAAATCAAAATGGAATTCTTTCCTAACACGTGCCGAGTTTGTTTAAGGGTGGAAGGTTCAGTACCACTCATTAATTGGAATCAATCTGTCCATGTCGAGGATTTGAATAAAAGTTTATCATATTCTGAATGTTTTCAGCAGTGCACTCAATTGAATTTAAATTATGAAAATAGTGGAAATGAACATTCAATGAGTAGATACGAACATTTTTGCAGTAGCTGTGCTATCAAACTCAAAGACGCGTACTTATTTATTACAAAAGCTCTTGAATCAGACAAAACTTTGCGTATGGATTACTGGAAATCAGATTCCGATAATAATAAGAAGTTTTTTGAATGGGTTGGGGTTGGTAAAGAATATACAAAAGTTGATCTCAAGGTATTTACAGTCCTCGAATTAAATCAAAATATTTTACTTATATATACATATAGAAAAGGGAGGAGGAGGAGGACCAAATCAGCTTGGGAGACAATACATTTTTTGATGAAAACACAAWTTCACAAGGCTGTGTTCAAAATGTGCATGAGGAAAGCTTTCAAGAATCTGAAGTATTAAATTCATCAAAGTTAATTTTATCCAGCATATCTAAACATATCCCTTCCAACGAAAATCGTTGGAAAAAAGACATGACAAAATCAGGAATCGAAGAAATTAATAATGYGGTTTGTGGAATCAGCAGAAAGTCAATGATTAAAACACAGGTTTTACGCCATTCCTGCAACCGAAGTGTAGAATCCTTTCTCTGCAAATCGTGTCGTTAGTAACATTGTTGTATTATCATATTATTTCATAAAACGCAAATGCATGTACATATGTATACATTATTTAGCTCGCACCTTCAGACATCGCAGTACCTTAACACAACATGAACTTATACATGAAAGCAACAGGGAGCGAAAGTTTGATTGTGGAGTGTGCGGAAGAAAATTTTATACACAAATGGCACGCAGAAATCATTTAAAAACACATGATCCCAGTCGGAAACCAAGATTCCACTGTAATGATTGTGGTCAGTCTTTTATGTTCAAGGGCAATCTTTTAGTGCATCAACAAAAACATGCTGGTCAAACTATTCAGTGTACATTTTGCCAGAAACGCTATGTACGTGCAGTAGATCTAGAAGTCCACCTACGAAGTCACACAGGCGATACACCATTCAAGTGTGATAAGTGCGAAAAGGCTTTTACAAAAAGGTCTACATTACAAAAGCATTTACAATTACACGAGGGCATCCAATGGAAATGTGAAGATTGTGGAAAAGAATACTTATATGAATGGACGCTTCAAAGGCATCGTTTAGAACACACTGGTTTGCCGTTAAAATGTTCAATTTGTGGAAAGGAATTTCCTGAAATGTACAAGTGAGTTTATTTGTGCGTTTTAAAATGTTGTAATTGATGTCTTTTACTCTAGAATTCGGCGCCATATCAAGTGTGTTCACAAAGTTAACTTGTCCGAATTGGAAAATTTCGTCGTGAAATTAAAGGATAAAAAGAAACGTGACAATTTATCACTAAATTCTTTGGACGCAAAAAGAGAGGCAAAATTATTTAATAGTTAATTTTTAATATTTGCAATTATGTGTTGCAAAAAAAGCATAATAACATAATTTTATTATTATTTTTAAAATTACACTTTCTATGATTAATAAAGATCTTAAGCAAGCAGAAAACGCATATGCCAATATTCGGTGAATACTCTAGATTAATTTCCTTCTGTGATCATTTCAAGCATAAATGTCGTGATGTTAATGAGTGCCACCGTGGTGGCAGGTGCTACTAAAAAAAAAAAWAATAAATTGAAGTTTGATAAGAAATACGAAAATATTTTTTCGACTACTCAATAGTATGGATATGTGAGTTTACTTCAAATGTATTTTTTGAAATTTGTTATAAATAAAGTATTTAGTTTAAAAAAACATGAGAATATATGCGTCAGCAAAGCTCTACCAATATATCCTCCGCCTCGTTTGTGGTTTCACCATCCTTTACTTCAATCTCTTTCATAACGCTATCTGCTTGAACTAATGTCAGTTTTTTTCGCTGTAAAGGCTTTGGAGTTTGAGATTTTGTAACCTTTTGAATCTCGGCTTCTGTAAACTCTATAAGATGCGTAGTTTTCAGATGCACTTTAAATCTACATATATTCATATTTAATTGGAAGCAAAACATACATATAACAAACACATTTTATCTTACTTTTGTTTTGATGGATATCCTCGACCACAATAGCTACAAGGAAATGGCATTTCACTATGAACAAACGAATGTTCCTGCAAAGCCTTGGTTGAAGTGAATAACTTTCCACATTCTTCGCATTGCAATTTTAATCCTTGGTGCCTCCACATATGCGTACGCAAATGACCCTTTATTGCAAATTTTTTGTCACATATTTCACATTTAAATGGATAGTCACGGGTATGGAATCGCATATGCACATTCAACTCGTACTGGCGTACAAACTGCTTTCCTGTAACATCAGGGAAATCTGGTTTTAATATTGAATTATCTTCTTACAGTGAGTTTACGAACCACATTCATCGCACTTTATTGTTTCGCCTTTATGAAGGCGAATGTGATTATCAAGAGCAATTTTACTAACATACATTTTATCGCAATAATTACATTGATGAAGTTGACGTACGTTTCGATGCACCTCCATATGCAAGCGCAAATAATGTTTAGTGGAAAATCGCTTGCTACATATTTCACACGCATCTGATTTAATGTTTGCTTCTTTCCGTTGGTGGTACTTAAGATGTGAATTCAAGATGTTTAAGGAAGTAAGTATTTTACCTAGTAAAGACGCAAAACTTAAAGTATTGGTACATTAAATTTATAAAAATTAAACAACTAACCGCAAATATTACAAACAAAATTCTTTGGTCCGGAATGGGTATGATGCATATGGTCTGACATATTAAGCTCTGGACATCTAAAATCACAATACATGCACTTAATAATATTTGAATGTGTAATTTTAATATGTTCTGGCATATCCTCCTCAAATACATTGTTCTCACATATTGTGCAAACGCTGGTTTCATCGTCAACAACTGTGTGTGTTTGTGAATGTAGTGAAAGTTGACTATATTTTTCAAATGATTGAAGGCAAATGGAACAGTAGATGGCAGAACTGTTTGAATCTTTGACAA